GTAAGGAAAAATATGTATTTTACTAATTATAATTAGTAAAAAATTTAAGCATTGCATTATTTTTGATTGCCACTGTATATTAAATTTAATTAATTAATTTAATTCATATTTCTGAAAGATAATAAATTATAATCTAATAAATTAATAATAATTAAAAATAATAATAAATAAAGAATAAAAAAATTAGAAAAGAAATAATTAAAAAAATTTAATTAAAAATATTAATTATTTAATTTAATAATAAGAAAATACATAATAATTATCTATATAATAATATATATAAATCTAAATTAATTAAATATATAATAATTATTTGTATATCCAAAATAAAAATAATTTTTATAAAAATAATATAAAAAATAAAATATAATATAAATAAAAATCTAAACTAAAGTAAATATAATTCAATCAAAAATAATTATATTAATTAAAAAATCTAAAAATAAGTTAAAATTTTTTAAATTTAAAATCTGAAAATAATAATAAGAAATTATTAAATTTTTTTATTTTTTATAAAAAATTAATATTAATTAAAAGATTTTTTTATAATTATTAAAAAGATTTAATTATTATATTAAGTAATTTTATATAAATATTTTTTAATAGCTTTTTAAATAAATAAAAAAAATTATTATTAAATTTAATTAAATTTCTTATTAATATTTTTAATATATTAATTTTTTCTTAGATTTTTTTAATATTTTTTTTAATAATTCAAAAAAATATTATTTTTAATTAAATATTATTTGAATATTTTTCTAATATATATTATTTAAAAAATAATATTTTTAATTAAATTATTATTAAATTTTATTAAATTTTCTTATTCAAGTTTTTATAATTAATTTTTATTATATTAAATTTTCTAATTCTAAATAAATATATAAAGAATAAGTAAATATTTCTTTTTAATATATAATTAATTAACAGAATATTATTTGAATTTGAAGTAAATTTATTTAATTTTTAATATATATTTTATAAATAATATTTATTTGTATTTTTTTTTTGCAATTAATATAAAGTAAAAAATTGTATTATTTATTTTTTTAAGATTAAATATTAGAATCTGACTTTTATTTATTTAATAAATTATAAATTTTTTGAATTTTAATATATTATATATTTTTTAATTATTATACTAATTTTAATAATAATTACATATTTTTTTATTTATTATAATAAAATTTGTTAATCTTTCTAGACTTTAGAATTGTAATATAACTTATTACTCTTTCTTTTTTAGATTCTCAAGAAAAATCTCATTTTTCTTTTAAGATCTTCAGATCAAACCTATTTTTGATAAAGCTCCCCCTTTTTTTTAATAAAAATTTGTTTTTTTTACCTTTAAACATGATAACACTCATCTTCATTAATATCATCTTCCCATCAAGAAACTTCTCAAGTATTTAAAATTTTTAATATTTGCTTATTTTGGTCTGGTATTTAATTTTAATACTGTATAATAATAATAATATGCTAGGCCACTATAGTAGTAATACCTGCTATTGGCGTGTTATAATTTATTTCGTTGATTGGCTCGTGATACGACCAACAATCTGCGTCACATATTATCGTTACGTGAAATATACAAATATTTTATTTGAATAAATGAAATGGGAATAGGGAAAATAAATACCAAAAATAAAAAATTATATACAATATAACATCATCAAAAACAAATTTCGAACTTATAACTTAAACTCAAACTCTATCGGATAATGATCGGAGATACGTTTCGCCGCTCTCTTCACCAACTCATTATCATATTTTCCATTAAGCCAACCATCATCAAATCGCCAAACACCGCTATTTCCGATCCATCTTCTCACATTTTCTTCCTCGAATACAAATCGATCGTACGCGGTAAATTCGCCATCCGCGACCGTAGTATCAGTGGTATTATGTATTCCCCATACCAACCCGTTCTTTTTTAGAATAGCATCCAATTCCGCACGTTTCGCTTTATTCACGTAACTTCCGGCCGCATTAAAATCACCCATCATCACAATTGGATCATTGGTGACGGTTGATTTTTCAGAATTTCCTGCTATAGAGTAGGATGGTTTTGATAGTGAAAATCTTGATGATCTTTCTTGTGAAGTTATTTCTCTTGTGGAGACAGGCGAATAGTTTGGTAGACAGCAACAGAATATATTTTTTAGGATTTGCCATATTCCATGTGGTTGGTCCTCTTCATCCGTTATACCACGTGATTGTTGTTTTGTATTGGATTCTCTAATATTTTTTGATGAGGGTGATTTTTTAATTACATTATTTCTTACTATTCCATAAACTTGTTCAGCTAATGCTGAAACTTCTTCAAATGCTTTGGTTGGTTGAGTATGACATCCAACCAATATGAGTTTTATATTAGCTTTACGTAAATGTTGAAAATGAACAACAAAAGGTTCCCGCATAAACAAATCGCCCAACTTCTCGTCATCTTCTATCACGTACTCATCAATTACTTTCCATTCGTTTCGTCGATACAAATAAACATAACGCTCTTGATATTTTCCTCTACCAATAGGAGGACTAGTCACATACGAGTATGGAGAATTCGGAGTTGAGACCTCATCGCATAATTGTTGAATTATTGATACATCATTTTCCGGAGCATGAATCTCTTGACACAATACAATATCGTAACGTCGTAGTATATCGGTGATAATACGCATAAGAACATGGTTTGACGCTTTTTTCTTACCAAATGATTGGATGTTAATTGACCCTATCATGCTAATATTCTGATTGAATCGATGACGAATTGTAGCTGATGGTAATGGTAATTTAGATAAAAGCTCAATATCTTCGGAGAATTTATTACCATTTTCTTCATTTTCTTTATTTTCTTTGTCGTTTTTTTTAGCTTTTGTTGATGATTTATTTGCAGCAGTGGATTTTGGTGATTTCGATTTCTTACGCTTCACTTTTGGAGGTACTAAATATCCATCATGAAAAGTTTGTTTCTTTGGAATTACCACAAATTTTTTTGTTGGATTTCTTACCACTATTTTAGGAACTACTTTGTGTGTAGAAGTAGTAGGTGTATTAGTAGCAGCTTGTTTTGCAACCAGGGTATTTTGTCGACGTTGTTTTTTCCTAGAAACTGTTCTTCGAGATGCTGATGTAGATTTTTTATGTGAGGTATTATTGCTACGCTCACTTTTCGGGGTGCTCGCTCCACTTCCACCTTTACTTCCAACTACAGTTTTTTTATTTTTTCTACCGGGGCTTGGTCTTCCGGAACTTTTACCGGTAGATTTATCACTATCATCAGTATCGTATTCTTCAGAGTCAGTTTCACTTTCCGATAATTTATATTCTGCATCACTATTTTTTCTTCTACTTTTTGACATATTCCATTTATTTTTTAATCATAAAGAAAAAAAAGAGCACAAAAGATTATATATAACGTTAAATCATTGTCGACACTTTTCTTTAGTTGTCAAACAAATTCCCCAGAAAAGGGAAAATGAAAAGCCCCCGAACAGTTAATGATGTGTTGATGATGACGACTATAGGGCTGGGTCTATCATTACCCATCAAGGATATCATCGTTTATCGTTATGAGGCAGAGTTATACAATAAGCCACATAAATGCACCATGCGCTCGCATAAATCATGTTATTTTCGATAAACCCGAACTTTACTAAATAGAGAAAGATTGACATAGGATATCATTTATTGTGACAGATTAAAATGAAATCAGATTAAAATGAAATGGGGTCCCCTTTTTATCACGGGTTTAATCCGATC